GGGAGGGGGGCCGCGCGGGGCTGGGAGGAGGCGCCCGCTCCAGCCGGGCTCGGTGGTCCGCTCGCCCCGCGGCCTCCCGCGCTCCCTCAGCCGGAGGCCGTCTGGCTCGGCTTTGCACTGACTAGCGGCTTAGCTCCCCGTCGCCCTGGCAACCCTCGACGCGCGCGCGGCTGCCAATGAGGCGGAGGGAGGGCGGGGCTAAGGCGCCTCCAGAGCTGGGTCCTGGCTGCCCGGGGTTCCGCGCGCCGAGAAGGGAGTCCGAGGTCGCTTTACGCCAGGCTTGGCACTGTATGGACGCTGATCCCCGACGTCCGACGCTGTCTGCACCTCCAGCCACAGCGCGCCGTTTGTGTGCGGGAGTGGATGCGTGCGCCCCACACCGGCGGGTCCAAGGGGAAGGCACCAAGGGTTGAGGCGGTGAAGCGACTGCGCCAGGGTCGCTCCCAGTGGCAGCGCCGGCGAGGGACCCGGAACCCTGGACAAATGACTCTCTAGAAGGCGCTAAGGGGCGCGGTCGCTCCCGGCCATTCACCTCCAGCCAAGTGCGACCAGTCTACCCCATGGGGTCACTTCAGGATAGTAACTTGGGGTAGTGCTACTTCCTGGTCTTTTTCCAGCTCCCCCACCCCCACACAACACTCCCCGACAGGTTACTCAGTACACTCACACCCCTCTCTTCCGCCATGTTCCCTCCAGCTGTGCTCAAAGTCTGTGTGTGGCTGCGTGGACAGAAGACTGGGACATGAAAGCGCCTTTGAGCACCACCAACGATGATCACCCTCATCCCTGTGGCTCCTCCTTTTGCGCAGACCCCACCCACAGCCGTTTGTCCCGTCTTCTCTCCTCCCATCAGCCCTTCTGCCTGGGCCTCTGGTAGAAGCACTCGATCCCATTCACTCCCTGCTTACCACGTGCTTCCGTAAAGATTACTGCAGCCAAGAAAACTCCATGGGGCAGTTCTCTAACGCATGGGGTCGCTATAAGTCAGAATTGACTCAATGGCCACGGGTGTACCATATGCCCAGCTCTATGCTAAGAGCCTTGCATTTAATCCTTGAAACAGCCTTTGAGGTCCCCTAACTATCCCAATTTTAGAGATGGGGAAACTGAGGCTCTGAGAGGTTAAATAACTTTCCAAGTTCACATAGCTGGTGGGTGACTGGGATTTGAAGCCAGGCAGTCTGACTCCAGAGCCTGTGCTCCTAACCATACTCGAAGCCAATAAATGGAACCATGGTGATTACTCCACCTGTGGGAATGAATTTTCTGCAGTGGAGCTGATACTATGTGTGATTTCTACCTCTCATGACAAAACTACATGAAGTTGATCAAAGATTCTGTAGAAGAATCCTGATCAAAAGGAAGAAAATGAAGAACAGAATTTCAAATTCTCATAGAATCCAGACTGTCTGGAGCCATGGAGGCTGGATAAACCCCAAAACTATTGCCCTGAGATAATCTTTAAACCTTAAACCAAATGTATCCCCTGAAGTCTTCTTTAAACCAAATAACAGCTTAGCTTAATTAACAAAGAATGTCTGCCTTGAGCACTGTGCTCTTTTAAGAACTATTTATATGGGATCAAATTGACAACAGCAACTCAAAAGATTAGATAGGAAACTTCAGGAGCAATGAGTTCATGTTTATGGGGGAGGAACAACTCAGAAAAGGAGGATGAGAATGGTCGCACAGCTAGAAGAATGTGATCAATGTTACTGAATTGTACATGTGGAAACTGTTGAATTGGTATATGTTTTGCAGTGTATATTCTTAACAACAACAGCAACAACAAAATCAAAAAATAAATAAATAAACCAGAGACTGCATCATCCTGAGACCAGAAGAACTAGATGGTGCCCAGCTACCACCAATGACTATCCTGACAGGGAACACAACAGAGAGTCCCTGATGGAGCAGGAGAAAAATGGGATGCAGAACTCAAATTCTAGTAAAAAGACCAGACTTAATGATCTGATGGAGACTGGAGGAACCCCAGAAAGCATGGCCTCCATGGCCTCCAGACTGTCTTGTCAGCCCAGAACTAAAACAATTCCCAAGGCCAACTCTTCAGACAAAGATTAGATTGGACTATGGGACATAAAATGATACTCATGAAGATTGTGCTTCTTAGCTCAAGTAGATACATGAGACTAAACGGGCAGCTCCTGTCCAGAGGCGAGATGAGAAGGCAGAGAGGGCCAGGAGCTGGTTGAATGGACATGGGAAGTCCGGGGTGGAAAGGAGGAGTGTCCTGTCATGGTATAGGGAGAGCAATAGGGTCATATAACAATGCATGTATAAATTTTTGTATGAGAGACTAACTTGAATTGTAAACTTTCACTTAAAGTACAACAATAAAAAAAAACTTAAAAAAAAAACTACATGGAGGGTGTTATTAATCCCATGTGAAAGGTGAGGAGAGTGGCTTCAGAAGGATTAGGACACTTGCTTAAGGTCACACAGAGAGTAGAGGTCACCGCCAGGGTGCCTGTTCCCTCTCCCCAGTAACACACTGCCTCCTCGGCCCTGCCCTGTCTCGTACCCAGCCGGTGTGGCTCATCTAACTGGCTGACTGGACAGCACCTTGCTGTTCAACCCATGCCACGCCCATCCCCACTTTGGGAAGAGGGAGGCCAGCCTAAGGGCAGGGGGTAGCTGCCAGTGCACTATAAGGACAAGAACTGAACCCATGGGAATATTAGCTCCACAGGACAGCCATGTTTGTCTCTTTCTCTGCAGGCACAGGGTCTGGCACATAGTAGGTACTCAATACAAATGTTGCACATTTTTAAAAATGGAGGCAAACTTTACATACAGTGAAATGCACAGATCTTAAGTGTACGATTTGATGCCTTTTGACAAATATGCACACCCATGTAACATTTCCATCACCCCAGAGAGTCCCCTTGTGCCCTTCCAGTCACTACCCACCTCCCAGAGGCCACTCCGATACTGACCTCCATCCTCCTGGATTAGTCTTGCCTGCCTTTGAATTTCATATAAATGAAACTTTGCAGTACCTGCTTTGTTGTTGTTGTTATTCCTGGCTTCTTTTGTTCAGATCGTCAGTAAATATGTGTTGGATAAAGGAGCGAAAGGAGTCCCTGGATGGCACAAAGAGTGAAGCATTTGACTACCAGCCAAAAGGTTTACAGTTCAAACCCACCTAGAGGTGCCTAGGAAGACAAGCCTGGCGATCTGCTTCCAAAAGGTCACAGTCTTGAAAACCCTATGGAGTGCAGCTCTGCTCTGCACATATAGAGTCGCCATGAGTTGGAACCAACTTGACAGCAACAACAAAAGAATGTAAGGGCAGAGCAATAGCAGCTGCAATCCAGCAGGGGGAGTCCTGGAGTGAACGTGTGAGGACACAGAGGGAGGTATTGCTCGGAGCCAGGAATTAGCCATGGACCCCTGTCCTCAGAAGGAGACTGACAAGAAGATGGGACTCCAGGCCAAGTAGGGGATGCAGGCCGGGACCAAGTGGAGCCTAGACACTAGTCCTGGGTCTTGGAGGTTTCTTAGCCCCAGGCTGAAGGACTGCAAGCTCCTTCCAGACCTCACTTAAGCCCCAGTCCAGCTCTCCCCCTTCTACTCATTTGGGAGGACTTCTCGGAAGAGGCGGCGCCTCAGAGTCCAGAAAGCTGTGGAAAGAACAGCCAGGTTGGTGGGATGAGGATGAGCCTTCTCCGTCTTCCCTATTCCCTAGAAGTTTCCTCAAGGGAACATTCACTGTGGAGGAGGGAGCTCAGCCACCCACCTTCACCACATGCTCGGAGCTGGCACTCCAGTACCAGGCAGCCCTCTTGGGCTCTGTGAGCAAGAACAGGAGCCCCCTGCTCCCCAGCATCAGCCTGGCAGAGCTCCCTGGGGCCCAGGGCACAGAGGACCAGCCTCTCCTTTCTCTTCTTCTGCTGTCAGTAGATCTTGTACCTTCGCCTCCCACCAGGCCCTGCTCAGTGGGTAAAGGTAAAATGTGCTGGCGTTCTGGGCCCACGCAGGCTGGCAGCGGGGCAATCATCATCATGAATCACACTGGCACCGCGGGTGCCCGGTCCTTGTTGAGGCGTCACTAATGAATTAGCCTCACTCCCGGCACGGGGCCTCTCAGCCTTTCCCCACTTCCCAGGAAGGCAGGAAACTGAGACCTGGAGCAGGGAGCAGGGGAGGAGAGGGGGCTCTGAGAGCCCCAGAAATGGGCTCAGAGCCTGGCCACCCCCTCTGCACGTGCATGCGCGTGCATGCACACACACACACACACACACACGCTGGAAAAATACCCCAAGGACAGGCCCCCAGAAACTGCCTCTCTGTTCCTAACTGTGAGCTGTAACTGTCCTGCCCACTCCCAAATGTGTAATTTTTAAAGAATTTTTTGAAATGCAGAAAAAGTACAAAGCTTTCTACGATAAACACTCTGTGCCAGCATCTAGAATTGACAATTCTGCACATATTGTCATACTTGCTTTAAGTCTATTTCCTTTTAAATAAGTGGAAGGAAAAAGCACATGCGCTATAGAAGTCTCCTCTGTCTCCCCTCCACGTCCCTAGAGGGAACCCACCTGTCCATGCTGACCCTGCCAAGGCCCCCCTCTGGCCCCCCTCCCTTCCCTGGGGCCAGGACCACTTTGGCTGCTGAGACCTGAACAAGAGCATGGAATGCTACCAACACAGTTCTTAGAAAGCAAGGATTTGAACCCATTAGAGTCAACCACAAAATGTCAGAGCAGGGGAGACACTTAGCTCCTCTAGGAGAGCATAACCAGTAAAAACCAGTTGCCATCAAGTGAACTCTGACTCATGGTAACCTCATATGTGTCAGAGTAGTACTGTGCTCCACAGGGTTTTCAATGGCTGATTTTTCAGCAGTAGATCACCAGGGGCCTCTGAGGTGGACTCAAACATCCAAACTTTCCATTAGCAGTAGAGCGTGTTAACCATTTGCACCACCCAGGGACTCCTGGGAGGTAACAGGCTCTGTTAAATGTCTGCAAGAAGCTACGGACCCTCATTCCAGAAAAATGCATGATGGAGGCAGGGACTTGCCCAATGATGTACACAATTCCCAGGGGCCCATGGTCTCCTGGGGGACCATCTTATTTCAAAATCTGAGCTTTCCCCACTCTACCTCATGCCTCTTTCGACTGGGAAAATGAGCAGAACAATTCCCAAATCCAAACCAATCCCTTTGCCGTCGAGTCAATTCTGACTTATAGCGACCCTGTGGGACAGAGTAGAACTGACCCATAGGGTTTCCAAGGAGGAGCTGGTGGATTCGAACTGCCAACCTTTGGGTTAACAGCCGTAGCTCTTAACCACTGTGCCACCAGGGCTGCAAACAATTCCCAGGACGGCTTTATTGGAGATTTTGAGGTTGCCAGATCGCACTCCTCTCCGCATATCCCATCCCGGGACCCACGGCTCAGTGTATTTGCCTAACTGAGGGGCATCTTGGAATCCTCGGGGCAAGCCTAGTATGCCAAAACAGGTTCAAGAGGACAAGGGCCAAGAGGCCCCCAAGTCTATGGGCACCCCAGGGCTGTAATCTGGGTTCAGGGTTCTCCTGATAACAAATTCCAGGCAGTCCCTGGCCCACCAGTGGCCCAAGGCCCTTCACTGAATCCCCTAACTCATGAGGCCAGCTCAGCAATTGCCAACCTGCTACCAAACGCTGCTAGAACCGGAGCCTAGACGCACCCTGGAGATCACATTCCCCTGGAACTCTACCTCTCAGAGGCCTGCCTGGGTCTGTTGAAACCTGAGTCCTACCTCACCCCTCCCAGGGACACGAGAGCTAGAGCAGCAGAGGCCAAGGGAGTGTGAGGAAGAGGAGAAGATGGCTTGGTGCCCAGGGCCACGCCTCCATGCCATGAACAGGAACCTGACCACCTAATGGGTTCTGGTAGGCCACCATATTGCAAAATGGATTGTGGGCATGACGGTTTCTTCCTCCTGGGAGGAGGCCCCAGTGGTCATAGCTGGCAGTTGCCCTTATGTTAATACCTTCCTGGACCTGTGGCCAAGTGCAAATCAGATTTTCCCATACCTCTGCCCTGAATTGTCCCCTTCTGCCCTGAGAATACAGACCCAGGATCCGACCATGACTTCTTGGCCTTGGACTTGCCTGGCCTGGACCCTCTCTGTGGTGGGAGCCATTGAGTTTTACCAACTTCTGTTTTCCCCTCTTCTTCCCAGGCACTCAGCTAAACTCCTGTTCCCAGTCCCCTTGCATGTAGGCAGGGCCCCAGGATGAGCACTGGGCCAAGGAATGTGGGCAGAAGCAGCATGTGCCACATCCACACACAGTCTTCTACCTTCTTTTATCTTCTACAGTGGTTAAGATGGAAACAAAGCTTGGGTCCCTGAGACATACTTAGAGACAAGCCATTGACTCCCATACATTGTGAGGTGAATGAGAAATAAAATCTAATCTGTTTAGCCACTTAGATCTTGGTGCTGTTTGTTACAGAATCAGCATTCCTTGCCTAACACGCTTCCGTCTTTCCACCCCAGAGCCTTTGCACATGCTGGCCCCTCTGCTTGGAACCCTCCCACTCTGCCTGGCTCACATTACTCATCCTTAAGGTTTCAGCTGAAGCCTCCCTCTCACAGAGAATGCTTCTGGAATCCTCCAGAGCATGTCAGCCCCCCATGTTATAGATTCTTGAGCTCCAGCATTGCTCCATCAAAGCACTTATTCCAATTATAATTAAATAAAAGTGAATTGACTGTGAAGTCTTTGATTGAAGACTGTTTCCGCTATACTAGAATATAAGCTTCATGAGGGCAAGGCCCTTGTTTACTGATGTTCCGCAGTACTCAGGCCAGTGTCTGCTGTATCGTGCCAGCTCAGTGAATATGTGTTGAATGAATGAATGGGTACCCTCTCTCCCATATATGCCCCTGGGGGAATCTGTTCCACTTAAGCTACTCATTCTCTCTGAGCCTTGATTCTCACATCTGGAGAACGGGTCAGAGCCAGGACTAGTATGAGGCAAGTGAGGCACTTGGCCTGGGCACCAAATTTAAGGGGGCACCAAAAAAACTCAGTAATCAAGATAAATAATAGCTTAATGCAGTATTTTTTAAAAATTCAAAATTAATGCAAAAAAAACTCTGATGAGCAAAACTATTAAGATTTTAAGTAAAGACAGGATCAGTACCAGTGCTGTGCTGAGCCAGATTGGAGACGGAGGCAAAATGAAAAATCAGTAATATGGTGTTGTCTGTATTTCAGATTTTGATATTTTGTTCATCATGGATTTTTGGCATTAGCTTTTGTTATGGATTGAATTGCCTCACTCCCCCCCACCACCCCACCCCAAAAAAATGTGTTGGAATCCTAACTCCTATCCCTGTGGAAGTAATCCTGCTTGGAAATAGGGTTGTCTTTTTTTGTAAATTAGATCATACTCAAGTAGGGTGGGTTCTGAATCTAATCACTTCTGAGTTATAAAAAGAGCAGGTTAGACACAGAGACACGACCACATGGGGGAAGCCAGATGCCAAATGAGGATCCCAGCCAAGGGAGCAAGGAGTGCCCAGCTATCTAGAAGGAAGGAATCTACCCGCCTGAGACCCTGATTTGGACTTTTAGCCTCTGGAACCGTGAGAAAATAAATTTTTGTTCTTTGAGGCCACCCACTTGTGGTATTTCTGTTACAGCAGCACTAGGAAACTAAGGAGGCTTTTATTAAAATATATATATATATATATGTTGCATATTATTTACCTTGATTACTGAGTTTTTCTGCTCTCCTTAAATTTTGTGCCTGGGGCAGGTGCTTCACCCGCTTCACCCTAGTCCTGGCCTTGGAATGGGCATAATCTCCTTCTCTTTGAAGGATTATCATGAAGCATCAGTAGCATAATATGAGAGGTAGCTATTATGATTTTGAAATATTAATGATGTTCCACTTTCGACACTCTCCATTTTATATCCATTCCCCTCTACTCCAATGCCAAGTTGGCTTTCCATATCCTCTGCTCTCCAAGGAAAACCCAGAACAAAGAGTCAAATCCTTGGCTTGGAGTTGCGAAATAGGCTTTGAAACCCAGAGCTGAGACTATAGCCTTTCAAGAGCCAGGTTTTGAGAGAGAGAAATTTTTTTTTTTAATTGTACTATACATGAAGGTTTACAGAACAAATAGTTCCTCATTAAACAGTTAGTACACCTATTGTTTTATGACAATGGTTAACAACCCCATGACATGTCAACACTGTCCCTTCTCAACCTTGGGTTCCCTATTACCAACTTTCCTGTCCCCTTCTGCCTTCTAGTCCTTGTCCCTGGACTGTTGTGCCCCATTAGTCTTGTTTTGTTTATGAGCCTGTCTAATCTTTGGCTGAAGCGTGAACCTCGGGAGTGACTTCGTTACTGAGCTAAAAAGGTGTCCGGGGGCCATACTCTCAGGGTTTCTCCAGTCTCTGTCAGGCCAGTAAGTCTGGTCTTTTTTTGTGAGTCAGAATTTTGTTCTACATTTTCTCCAGCTCTGTCCAGGACCCTCTGTTGTGATCCCAGTCAGAGCAGTCAGTGGTGGTAGCCGAGCACCATCTAGTTGGACTGGACTCAGTCTGGTGGAGGCCGTGGTAGTTGTGATCCATGAGAGAAATATTTTTTGTAGGTCCAGAAGCTTGGCTTTGAACGTGGAGAGCAGGGAGCTGATGCCGTAAGCCCTGGAGTAGGGAAGCATGCGTCATCACAGAAGCCCGGATCCCACCAGAAAGGAGAGAATGCTCAACTGGCAGGTGGGAGCGATCCTGGCCCCCGAAAGGGGCCCTCAGCCCCACCTTTCCTGGGATGAGCCCAGGGTGGCGTGAGAGAAGTCCCAGGTATGTTTGGGGGACACCAAGGCAGAGGAAACCTGCACTTCCTTTACCAGGTGTGGCCTGAGAATGCAGCAGACCTCCCACAAGCCCCCCTGCCTGTATGGTGAGGACTCAGTTGGGTAGAAATGGAGGTGAGCTAGCCCCTCCCTTGGATCTTCTACATACACCTGTGTCATGAGGGGAAGCATTCAGAA